ATGTGAGCACAGGTAGGACATTGCTTTGGTCACATCTGAGAGTGCGGAAGAGAAAGGGATGGTGTGAAGAGGGTTACAAATAGAGTATGACACAGTAGCACCAACACTTAGGCCAAGTGTATAACTGAAAGTGAAGTGGTGTTTTCAGAAGGAAAACGTTAAATGGATTATTCTAATATCAGACACAGTGACAGTGTTTGATACATTCAGACAGTGATAGATTCTGACATATCAATGGGGTTAGATTAAAGGATCTCTGGAAGCCCCCTTCCAGCCTGACTTCTGGTATGATTCTATGATCACAGACTTCTTTTGTTCTGGCTTGTTTTGTGACTGAATGGCAACTACCACTTTGCACTGACTAAAAACCTAAATCTTCTTTTCTAGATCGAGTTGCATGTGTTTCAGCATGCCATACTTCTTCAATAAACCAAACTGTTATCACTTTGAAGTGGAAGATGTTTCAAGCAATACAAAGAACCAGCTGTCCACGGTAATGGAGAAATGCTGCTGTAGCGGGTGAGCCAGACTTCATTTCTTTCCTATTTACCTTTGTCAGAGCAATAGCACACCCCTGGAATAGCATAGGGCATTTTTACACCTTAAATCAGCATGCTGACCTGTGGTATAATGCAGTGTGAGCTTGTTAATGAAAAAGGGCAAACCATCTTCACTAATCGAACAAACCAGGCAAGAGCAGACATTTAGATCTCTACATAGCTGCTGCTACAGAATGAAGTGTCCTAATTCATTACTGGACGTTTGAGATCAATTACTTGACAGCAACACTTATCTATTGTGTCTCTTTCTTCCTTTTTTTCTTCTACTATGGATATTTTCCATTCTCTGTCATGTTTCCATCTTCACTTGAAAAACTGTTACTATTTAAAACTAAACATCTCTATAGCATAAACCAAGCCATACATAGGGAGCAAACTTATTAGAATGGAAACGAATATCATAATGCCAGTTTTGTAACCAGGGTTGCATTATACATACAGAGCAAACGAGAGGTTTCAAACAAACTGAAATTAATCTACTGTTTAATGTTTATTAATACAATAAGCAGCAAACCCCCTGATTTTCATAGCTGCCATTCCACAGTAGGTACTGATTTGGAGGGAAGACGCCTGGAGCACACATGTGGAAGGCAGAAATATATAATGCTTTGCTGCTTTGTCTGCTTCTTAAGAACGTATTATCCTACCCAAACAATAGCACTTGAGAAAGCTGCATTCTGAATTTCAAATGGAATCAGCCAAACTCTATTCTGGCATCTTGTATTTATTATCTGACAAAAGCATAAATTAGGATGAGCTGAGTTCAGAATTCAGATTCTAAATTCTTTTTTTCATGAATTAGTTGGCTTTCTTCTTAATGTTTGAATTTACAAACTAACCATACCCCACTTTCAACTTCCATGCCACTACGACTTTCATTGAAGATCACCTAAAAATTAAGTACAATTTTTGGATGTTCAGTTACTACTATTTCAGCTTTCCTGTTTTATGGGTGTGCTTGTAAACATGGAATTTTGTTTAGATTTTAAACATTTCTGCAATTTCACAAACCTAACCTTCTGCTGTCTTGCACGCTGTAAATACAGAAACCCTGTTCTTTGGTTTTCCCTTTTTTCTTTGTGAAGGAAATCTGAAATAGTTCTTTTATTAGCTGGGGGAATGCTCACAAGAATCTCAATAAAGATCTCATATGAATCATAGTTTATGCACATTATTTAATGTAAAAAGCTTTTTGCCTTTTTTGTTCCACTCCTGCTTTATGTAACAATTGCTTATCCATCTTTTCCAGGCCTAGTCTAAACAGGATGAAGTATCTTTCTTGGACTCAGTGGACATCATACTGTTGGTAGTTCTGAGTGAACACCAAAAACATCGGCCTCCAGCTGATACCATGGTGGCTTGGAAACAGCACCCTGAAGCTCTTATCATCTTCATGCCAGATGTTTCACAGAGACTAAGCAGCTCATGGAAGTTCAGTAAGAAAGAGCAGGAACTCCCGGTATGTTCTGTTAAAGCCTTATAGCTAATAACTCAATACACAGTGTACTTAGTGTACAATTTATAATGTAATCCATTGCTTCATATCTGAAAGTCTGTTCCCTTGTATGGTAGTAACTATGCTAAACCAATTAGTAAGTGGAGTGGTCTGCAGACGAGTAACAGACACTGAAATCTACTTTTCTGAGGGAGGCTTTTCATCTGAAACTAGACAGCAACCTATTTACAAATTCAAAGTTAAATCCTGCTGTAGCTTTTCACTGGGAGCACCAGATGTGCCAAATTCATTACTTGCGGGATGGAGATTAACTCTACTGCTTTATTGTTCCCTGGGTTCATTTCTGTGTTCCTGTAACTACAGCTGGTCTGCATGCCTCAAGATAGAACAATGTTCTATCTTGAAATGGAGATTAGCACCACCCTGTGTCTTTCTGTCTTATTGTGCCTTCCACATTGTCTGTCCCCATCCTAAATCCATTTATGTATTATTTTCCATGCTGCATTTGCTTTTGATTCAAGCACTTTTCTCATCAGTACTGGCCCCAGATGTAACATAAGGCTCTGCTTGTTTTAAGTGGGTGGGAGGAAGGGGAGAAGAGAACAGAGACTGGAAAAATACCCAACAACAACAAACCAACCAAAAAACCAAACCCAGCCACAGTTTAGTGCTCAGATTAGACTGAAAGAGATTTATTTAGAAACAACAGCTTTGGTATTTTAAAACCAAAAGACCTTTAAATCACTAGAAAGTGGGATGTGTTGTCCCCCACCCCAGCAAAAACAAATCAATGCACAAAGTCTCTATATGCTTAGAACAGGAAACCTGCAGATGAGGATTTCCAAGTGTAAAGCCAGAAAACAATTTCATTAAATCAGTTTTGCACTCTACAGTCAAAAAGGCTGAAAAACCTGTTACCAGCACTTAGATATCTACAGTTCAATTGACTGACTTGTTACTGACATGGAGGCAAAATTATTAACATCCTCCCACCTCCCCAGCAATAAATTAAAAAATGTATACCAGAAAGGAAATTGCACTAGAATTTTCTAGTTGTTATCTCTGTGAAGGGAATCATCATTCTGAACCCAAGACAATTTTCCTGTAAAATTAAGAAACGAATCAAAGTATCAAAGGACTTAAGGTATCTTCAAGTATTTTCACCAAATGGATTTCTCTTGGGGAACGGAACAGCTTACAAGGAAAAAGAAACATCTGTTATGCAAGCTTCTGAGATAAACTCTTGAATAACCACACCTTCCAAGTCTCAGGTTCCTCTCGTAACAAGGCACAAAGGGATTGTTGCTTTCAAAAGGTCCTTGTTCTCAGCTGCAAAATTGTCAGGTGTCTGTGCAAATGGAGGCGGAAAACAGGACTAAGTTCACTTGGACACTGGGATGTTCCCATTCAATTAATGAGCAAGGTGTTATCTGAACACCATTCATCTTGCTTACTGCTACAGAGAGCCTGAGCTGCCTTCCCCTTCACCCCTGCTTCTGGAATCAAGATCTGCATCATCTTCATTTTAAGAAGGTCCAGTTAAGATGAGGCAACAGATGTGTCTGCTGTACACTGCAAGACAGTGTTGAGAAGGAAGAGGTGTTACATCAGCCCTGGCGTGTAGCTGAGAAGCGTCTCGGCATTTCAGAGAATAGTGTCAGGGACAGTTACCTGTAGTAATGGTTAACAAGTCACTTTGTAAAGGCAGAAGGCAAGTCTGTATATGACAAAGGCAACCAGATAGACAGCAAGGAAAAAAAAGACATAACTTCAAGGACACATTTAGGGTGCAGCTGAATACACAATAATTGGAATTACTTCCTGACCACTTCCTCCTTTTGCATTAAGGTTTTGATCATGATCATAGGCTTCTAACTGCAGTTGTACTTGATATACATATCTACCCTACCCCTTCCTACATTTGTCTAGCCACAAGCCCCTTCCACATTCAATCTTTCAATGGGTGACAGGTATTCAGACCTGCTTGAGGTCTGGCCTGATCTCCAGTGCTCAACATTAGAAAGCCAGTTAGCTGAGACGAAAACAGCCAGCTCACTTTAAAACACCCCTTATGTACTGACTGTCAAGTTTAGTTCAGTACCTTCTGTCCAGGTTAGCTATCAAAATTTAATTTGCTTTTAGAATTTGGAAAAGACAGCACAATCTAAAGCTAGACCAGCTCATTTTTTTTTAAGCAGAATTCACCATCTATTGTCTATTTTGTGCTAAGTTTTTACTAGCAACTAGGTTTTCTAAGGCAACTCAAACCAAGAATTTCCAATTCTTTACACCAAAGATGCAGTAGAGCTTGAAGTCAGAACCTCAAACTCACAGTAAAAAGCACTCAATACTCTTCTTAACACAGCTATGTATTTCATCTGAATGGGAGAAACACTAACTCAGCACCTTCCCCAAATGATGGTGGTAAATGTGGTTTGATGGAGGACTGCACAGTGTCTATGAATCTGTGAACATTTATCAGTAGTCCCAACAGGCCAGCACTTTCACCCAAGAACACCAGCTTGTGTCTGTGTGTTCTTGTATGACACTTCACACATTCAAACCAGGCAGAAAAGCCTGCACACCTCCCACACAGTAGTTAAAGACAAGTATAGCAGCTCTCTCGCAAGCACTCCAGTACTGCATAATAAGAAACTTCATGTCATGACACAGCTGCAACTGTTGGCTTAAAAAAAAAAGCAATGTCCTACATTGATGTATGGAAATAGGACAGAAAAAGCTGTGTCTGTCTTGATCTGCAGCCTTAAAACTGTTTAAGGACAATGGATATATTTTTCTAATGTTTGTGAGCTCTACTGCTCTAATCCCTGCCCTAATCCTACTTCTTGCAAGAAGAGGTCACAGATCACTTGTTGCAATAGAGGTTGAAAATCCTCACAGTCCAAGACAGAACCTCCCTAGGCACAGCTGACAGAAAATCAGGTTGACAACACTCAGTGGACAGCAGCCAAAAGCAGCAAGCCTTATACCTTACTCCTGAAGAGTGGCTTGGCTCCTGGCCCGCAGTATTCATTGTAGATGAGTTTGAACAGAAACAAGTGAAACAATGTGATTAAGGAGGCCACACTGAACCAGAACAGGAAGGGTAAGCCTGGGTATTGCTTGGCCATGTGTTCCTCATGAGCTAGAATAGCTTTTAGATGCAGTGTGTGTCTCAGGTCCTGCAAGTGGATCAGATCTGTTGATATATAAAGCAGTGGTGTGATGGGTTGAGTCACCATGACGGGGAATGTGTGGCCTCGTGCCTCTGAGGTCAGCTCCACAGGCTCATTCATACAGCCTGCCTCACATGCATACAGTTTCACTGGCTTGTCCTGGAATTTCACGGACACGTGCAAGAAGGGCTTTCCTTCAGCATTCAGCAGAACAGCTAGATTAATCAAGTCCTTATTGTAATGGATCCCACGTAAGGAATAGCTGTTATGAAGTACATCAGGGTCAGCCTGAAACTGAAGATGGTTTTCTGTGAACTGCAGACCCCCAAAACTAAGCACCATTCCCTGCATCAGCCCATGGACACCAGCTGCCACAAGACCCTTGCATCCTCGTTTCTGGAGAGTGAGCTTCCACAGGTCTGAGAGCTGCAAGATCTGGGTGACACTGGTCAGCTTTGCTGGCCACAGGTTCTCTGCGTGCATGGTCGCGTGGCCACTGAAGCAGTGGTCAGCATAGTTCAAGCTGGCTTCCATTTTCTCCCTGTCCTCACCACTAATGAGTGGATCCAGCAGAGGAGCTGGCATGCTCGACAGCACGTAGTAGAGGGTCATATTAACAGTCTCACTGGATGGTGTATGCGCATCTGTGATCTTCCTCATTTCAACCCCTGTAATAAAAGAAAACAATCACGAGTCAGAGGATCACACATGAATATGACATTAACTAGGAGGAAAAGATCAAATGTGCAACTTGTTCAATAGACAGGGGTTCTTTAGAATGTGTAAGAAACCTTTATCTGTGAAACACTAAAGTGAAACGTTTCCTTTTATTTTCCTGAGGTGCTTTCTCAGCTGCTTGGAGTTTGAAAGCCAAGCTCCCGCTAAAGGCAAAGCTAGTTTGATAAACAGATGCCTTATGGAGCTGTCACCATGAATCTACAAGGATGACCTGTCAAAGGAACATCTCTCTTTTTACTTCCTATAAAACAGCAAGTCCTACATTAGTTGGGCAGCTACTCTGTTATGCCAGGCCACTACAATTTTAATAAAAAGCATCCTTGTAGGACATTCATTAATTTCAATGAAGAAATCTGTCTTTTTATACTGTTGCTATTTCTAACCAATACGCTGGGCACATCGTCAAGTTCCTGAAGATGTGAAAGCCAGCATATCCAAGTTATGATTAGAAATGCTCTTCTGTAATTTCCTTTATGATGTAAGGAATGCTTTTGGTAAAGTGTGCAGGGTTCCAGACTAGGAATGCTATTTTATTATCCCACAACATGCCTTCCGGCACCAAGAGAAACCCATCAGGAAGAGCAGAGCCTCTGGAGAAACCATACAACAACCAGTCTCTGAGTTTTCAGCTGCCCTCTAAAGCAACCTCTAAGGAAGTTAAACATCACTTTCCTTACCTGAAATGAACAGGTCAGACCAGGTCTGTTGGTGCTCCGGGAAAAGATCTTCCACTCCCATCTGCATCACCTCCAGCATCTCTTTCTTGGCTGCCTCCCTCAGCTTGCTGAAGGTCTCCTCCAGCCTGGAGACCTCGATGGGCTCTGAGGTGTACACCACTGAGAGCACGGTTTCATCAAAATGGGATTTGGGCGCAACCTGCACCCGGCTCACGAGCTTCTTGGCA